CAGGAAAATTTCATCTTGACATAGAGAAATTTCAATTTTTATAGAGAAATTTATATGGTATGATCACAATGAAATTTTATCGAGTAACCTTAACTAATAAAAAAAAAAACATATTGGACTTCTCCTATTATTCAAAGTTAGAGAGAGATGTTTCACCAATTTTTCCTAATTTTAACATAAGGGACATGAACATATATGGTAAAAATATAAATTTTTATCAGCATAAATAGGTATAAAAAATAGGAAAATTTACCCATAAATCCTATTTTTTGAAAAGTTGAACCATTTAGTCCTAAAAGTTTTCTTATGCACCATTTAGTCCCATTTTATTTTGGTAATGTTGTTTATTTAATTTTGATTATTTTGTAGGTTACAATAGTACCCCTTTTGAGGAATGTTTGTTTCCTAAAAATCTTAAAAACATATACATCAAACATCACTAAAAAAATATGCATCAAACATCAACATATACATTATACATCACTAAACAAACAACCATTTCTGGATAATGGGTCGCCATTGATGGTCAATGTGTACCCATTTTTCAGGGGAAGGAACAGAGAGATTGATCAGACATAGTCTCAAACATTAACAACATTAATATCAACAAAAAAAATATACAACTTATTACATATTTTTACAGACTATTTCTAAAAAATATATTGATTGGTGTATATTTACAGACTATATTTTTACAAACATCATCAAAAAAATATTGTGAACATCATCAACATCATCAACATTCGAACATCATCACCAATATATTCGAACATCATCACCATCAACTGCGTTTGTTGGCTGCTTTTTCTCAGAAACCCTAACCCTAACGCTAAGGTCTGCAACAATAGTGGTGAAAGCTTCCAAGGCCGAGAAGAAGACAGTCACCGTCGATCTCTACCGTCCTCTTCGAAACTACATAGTTTTCAATTACTCAGAACGCGAAGCCCAGAACCTCGAAGACGATCTCCAAACCCTAAAGCAATTGCGATCCGATCTCGAACGCAAACCACGAAGGCAGAGAGGTCACAATCTCACGGCAGTGGTACTGGATCGGTGTGGATCGGCGCTGATGTTGACGATGTTGATCATGGCGTTGATGTCGCTGATGTTGATGATGGAACTAATGTTGATGATGTCGATCATTGCGCTGAGGTTGATGATGTTGATCATAGCACTAGTATTGATGATGGATCGACCTTCTAGAAATGCTTCCATTTGAACACATCACCATTACACCCTCATGCTTGCAAATAGCAGCCTAAACACACAAAGTTACGGAACATTAACATTGGGGTTACATTGCCCCAATTGTTTCCACCCTTTGCGCTTTCAAATGTACGTTTCCTTTCGAAATAATCTTGATGTTACTCGTCGTCACATTGAAACCCCAAATTTTCCATCTCTGCAACTTCACCACTGCTGAAGATGTCCCAATTCTGTAAATGTCCCAATTTTGTAATTTTACAGAGTATCAAATTACCAAATTTGCCCACTAACGTCCAGATTTACGCCCGTGATGTATATGCCCTCTATGGTCAATTTTCCTATAATGGGACCTTTCAATTTATAAGAAAATTTTTAGGACTAAACAGTGTATAAGTTGTTAATTTGAGATTTATTAGTGTATCACCCTAAAAAAATAAGACAAATATATATAAATAGGTATTTTTTTAATAATTCAAATTGAGTTATAAAGATATCTATTGTAAAATAATTTACCTGTTAAAGTGAGACATATTAAATTGTGTTTCATGTTCTTTATGTCATTAAAAGTATTAAAATTTTGAAAAATATATTTTTCAATAAATGTGATGATGTTACTAGACCCATAAACTAAGGCTTGTAATCACACTAGTTATGATAAATTACCTTCTTTTGTGATATTTTGTTAACAATTTTAAATTTATACTTTTACGCCATATTTTATAGATATAGACTGGCAATCATTTTAATTTTTTTGTTTAAATCCAAAGAAGGCAAGTTTGTATAATTTTAGATAATTAATAGCTAATACTATTATAATAAAAGTATAGTTTTCTAGTAAGCAAAGTCATACGATGGTCTAGAACTATTGAATATTATCTGTTTAAGATTTCCTTAGTGGCCCTGAAAGCCTAACCAAAAAAAGAAATCTCACCCTCAAAATCATATCATAGATTAGACAATCTGCAAGTGATGTATCACCCACCAAATTATTGATTCACACTTAGGCCAAGTTTGGGAAGACTAAATAAGTGCACTTTTTGACTTTTTATGAAATATGGGTTGGATTTGGGTTGGGTTTGAAGTGATGTGTTAGAGAGGTGTTGTGACTTAAATAAGATGATGTGACTTAAATAGGATAGTGACTTTTTGACTTTTTGAATTTTTTGGAAGATGCCAAACTTAGCTTTAATCGCCATGTTCAAAATTAGGATTTATTATTGATGTGATTTATTTTTTTAGTCTTCTGTTTCCCCTAATTTTCTCTGCTGGTTGTTAAATGATTATACAAAAATTGACAACCCACATAGTTTGGAAATGGCCAGCATGTTTTTCATATGTAGAAAGTATTTGGAAAGTGGTTTTGGGGCTAAAATAACTACAAAAGACAAAATAGGCTATTTTAGCTATAATAAACAAAGCATCACATTCAACCCATAATCATTACACTCTTTTCTCATAAAAAAAGTCAAAAAAGTCAAAAAGCCAAAAAGTCCTTCCCAAATCAAGTTTTTTAACCCAGGTTAAAAAAGTTAAAAAGCCAAAAAGCCAACCCACTTCCCAAACGGAGGCTTAATAATTAGGTTGAATTTTCCTTGTCAATGTTAGTGCCTAGCCCTTTCGAACACTAAAGTCTCATTTGGGAACATGTTATTTTAGTAACTTTTTGAATTTTTAATTAAAATATGAGGTAAAAAAAATTAGTATATTTGGAATGACTTTTTAGTTTTTTACAAAAAAATGTGCAAAAAGTAGAGAAAAAAGAGAATTTTTGACTTTTTGGTATAAATTGTTGGCTTTTTATTTTTTTAGTAACTTTTTAACTTTTAAACTAAAATAGTCACTTGCCAAACGAGGCCTAAGTGGTGTTTGTTAAATCAATTTTTGCCATTACAAAAAATTAATCACAGAATTAAACATAATTATATGAGGAAGGACGGACTTAGGGGTGGTCGCTGTCCCTATAATTTGCCCCCAAAAAAATAAAAATAAAAATCATATGCTAGTATTTACTATTTATTATTTTCAAATTATACAAATTCACCCCATCTAAATTTAACAAAAAATTAAGTGGTAACGCAACTCACGCTTCTATATCTATGAAACATTGGGTTCAAAATATAGAATTTAACAACTTTGACAAAACATAACCAAAACAAAATGGTTTCTCACAACTAGTGTAGATAAATTGTCATATACTTGTTATATTTTATAAATAAATATGATTATAGAAAAACATATTTATTCATTTATATTTTTTCATATTATTCACCTTTTATTTTAATAGAAATTGATATTGTTATTTATACTTCCTTTATAAATTTTTTGTTAATATATATATATATATATATTCACCTCGTTTATGTCAAAATCTTGAGTTGATTTTGCGAGGAATTCACAAAAAAATGAAACTCACCTTATGTAAGGGGATTATGTTTAAAATTTTGTGTAACGGAGAAGAAACAAAAATTGAACCCTGACCTCTTAAACATAAGTGTGTAGATAAGTGATCAACCGAGTTACTCTAATTGATTAGGTTGAACTAAACTTGCCTAAAAATGAAAAAAAAAAAAAAAAAAAAAAGGGGGGGGGCCAAATTTGATAAAAATAAATTGGAAATTAGGAAATGAAATTAAATTCTGTTGGACTTTTATTTTTATTTTTATTTCTTGTACCTTTTGAATTGTTTTCAAATTTGTTTTATTTTTTTATTTTTATTTTTAGAGTCCCTTAGTATAGAAGGCAAAATTTTAAAACAAATTTTACTAAAAATAACAAAATTTAGAAAAAGCATATTGCTAAAAAACTTTTAAACTCAATTCTTTATCCAAAAAGCTAGGGTCCCAGAATTTAGGACTCATAATTTATCTAGAAATGAGTATGGTGCGTTGGAAATTGAATTGATGAAGAGTGAGGTTCATATATAAAATGAACTTGAGTCATTGATTCAAATTTTGGATAATTTCTAACGTTACTGATTATTTATAGCTATTCTTGTCAATTGTATTTTTTATTAGGGAAAAACTATAGTACACACAGATACACCTTATAACTAATAAAGAAAATAGTATAATTTCATACTTTTTGAGTTATAATTAAAAAAAAATAAAAAAATATAACCAAACACAAAAAAATTATAACTAAATATCTTAAAATAATGTCATAACTAAAGAAAAAAATTGATAAAAAATAATATAAATCGTTTCTTTCTCTCTTCTTTATAAAAAAAAGCTAAAGCAAAAGAAATGTGTTCTTTTTGGTTACCCACCTTCTTCTATTAGGAAATTTGTCACATTAAGAAAAAAAGGTGTTTACTTTATGGATACTGTCTCACAAATTAAGGAAAGGCCTTTTAGGTTGGGCTGTTTGGTTGAATATTTAAAATTTATTTATTTTTAAAATTATTTTGATAAAAAAAAATAAAAATAAGATTAATTACATTAATATGTTTTAACTATTAACAAATATTACGTTGTCCTCTTATTTATGAATTCGTACATTTTTATAGTTGAGATAGTTAATATGTACGGATTCATCAATAAAAAAAATAAAGTGATATTCGTTAATAGTTAATGAGATCTTGGCATAATTATAAATAATTTTATAAAATTAAAAAATACCTTTTTATGTTTATTTTTATCAAACTAATTCATATTTTTTTGATAAAAAAACTCAAAAAATAAAATCTGAAAACTCAATCAAACAAGATCATCCCAAGATTTGGAGCAAAATGTTGGATTGGGCTACACAAAACTTTGTTAACTTTAAAAATGGGCTTGGGCTAGTTTCAAACCTGT